AGGAGGGGAGGTTAGTCCTGTGTCTTTTTAAAGTTTTTTTTTTTTTTTTTTTTTTTTTTTTGTACCGGGGATCGAACTTAGGTCCTTGCGCTTTCGAAGCAGGCAGCAGAACCACTGATCTAAATCCCCGGCCCTCTTCACAGCTTTTGTTCCTCCTTCCAAGACTGTAAATTGCCACTAATCCTGTTCAACCTCTAAATAAAGCAAAATATTACATATCTATCTCCTGGAAGTTAGAAGAAAGGGAGACTAGTTGGATTTATAGGGGACTCTCTCTGCTTTCCTGAGACAGGGACATGTCTCATTAGCTCATTTGCTACTTGAAGTTTGGGCTTGGGCTCTGTTTAATCTCACACTGATCTCAAGATATGTTCATTTTTAGACAACCACCTAAGAAAAGACTTCCAAAGATCTGGAGAAGTTCATCTTGTCTTGGTAGTGTTTTCTCCACAGATGGACTCTAACACATGATGCTTTTAGATGTCATCATCTTCCTCACGGCAGACTTGGCAACTGCCAGTCATAAGAGCCACAACCCAACCACTGAGCTTGGGTGGGGAAGACAAGGCACCAGCAGGCTGATGCTGATGGCTGCAGAGGCCGGGGCATGATCCATACCTTGTCTTGCCACAATTAAGCTGGCCATGCAGTCTGGAACACTCGTGCCCGCTGCCAGGAATGTGATGCCCATGATGACATCGGGTATCCCAAGTGTGTATCCGATAATAGTCACCTGCAGGAGAGCGGGGTGGGCAAGTGAACTCATAAAGGAACAGCCCTGGGAACTTTCCTTAAACTGAGCTTTTAACTTGAATGTGGTAGCCAAGAGAAAAATCTGGAATATGGTGTGTGTGTGTGTGTGTGTGTGTGTGTGTGTGTGTGTGTGTGTTCTTTTTTTCCCCTGGTGACATGAGTAACATGTTTATTATTTAAAAAAAAAATTTTTTTTTGGTACCGGGTATTGAACTCGGGTCCTTGCGCTTGCAAGGCACGCCACCGAACCGCTGAGCTAAATCCCTGGCCCCTATTTTTTAAATATTTATAAAATAAAATGGAAATGAAATTACCATTTCTCGAGACCCCTGGAGAATTGCTATTAACACTTCACATTGGCCAGTGGTTCTCAAATTTGAGAATATAGAAAGTCTCAGGGGAGACTTGTTAAAATGCAGACTGCCAGGCTGCATCCCCAGATTTCCAGGGTGAGGCCTAGAGGCTTTCATTCCTGGTGAGTTCCCAGGAAAGTGGCACCCTGATGCTGTGGGTCTGGAAGCTCATTTGAAAATCACTATTTTGGACTTTATCCTTGACTTTGTTCTTGGTATATGTTTTAGGAAAAAAATGACATTAGTTTATACAATCAATATCTGTTTTGTAATTATACATTGTGAGTATGAAGAGTCCATCCAGAATCTTCATCTATAACATATTTTACATGGATAATTAGATTTCATTGTATTGCTGTAAAGGCTTCACCAATCCTACACTCTTGTGTATTTTACATGGTTTCTTTTTTATTCTTACAGTATTGCTCTGTGAACACGTATTGAGCACTTACTGTGTATCAGGCATTCTACAGAGTGTCTTGCTCTCATAATCTCATGTACTTGATTATTCAAGTAGAGGGAGGCACCTTAATTATATGAACCGAGGCTCCAAGAGGTAACAATGCCCAGGCACACACAGCTCCTAAGCAATGGAGCAAGGATTCCCAGCCAACGATTCCAGCCTCTCCATTGTACTGTCTTGTGCATACATCTTTGGCTTTTCATCCTACTATATCCTTAGGATAAGTCCCAAAAGACAGAACTCCAGAATCAAAGGATACAGAGGCATTTTAAAGATCATGGTGCACCTGTGTGGCCGACACTGGAGAGACAGTTGAGGCCTGAGCAGCAACCAGATGGAAAACACTGGAAGCATTTGGCCCTCCAGTTCAGAGCACCCCTCACTTCTCTTCATCTCGAGATGGGGAATGGTGACACCCTTTAGAACTGCTCTCATCTTGGCCAATGTCCCAAATCCCAGCGAATGGCTATGTGACCTTGGATAAGCTAGCTTGCTTCTCTGAGCTCCTTTATCTGTAAAATGGGCTTAACAAGGATGAGATAAGAAAATGCAAGGCGACAGTGCCTGGCTATGCCAGATGTTTGAGCAGTATACTTCCCTTCTATTTCAACCATTTGCTTGCCTTCCATGGGCTCAGGGAGCCCCAGTTGAACTATGTTGTCTAGGTACGAAGCTCAGCCCTGGCTTGCAGCCAGCATATGTGGCTAGGCACCTCTCTATTTGCGGGAAGTTTGCAGAGGGGTCCGAAGACAGCCATGAAGACCTAAGACAGTGCTTAGCTCAGCAACAGCAGACTGAGCTCAGTGAGGATATTGTCCTGAACCAGGGGAGAGACTCAGCAGTGCTTAATCCACACTGTCCACAAAAGGGATCTGCACGAGCCAACCAGGGGTGGTTGACAAGTTTTTAATTCCAAATGCTGGGATTACAAGTATGTGGCACCAGTTTATCTACAGATTTCTATTGCCAAGTCTATGCTAGTCCCAAAACAGGCCAATTGAAGTTCAAATCCACAGGTCCAAGTGCTCCAGTAAAGTGGTTCCTATGACCTCAGGCCAAGCCCAAAAAACAAACAAAAGAGAAAATCAAGGATGGGATTTGTAAGTCAAGGCAGTGTGGATGGGAGTTTTCTACCTCACTGCTAATTAGAATAGATTTAACAATTCTGCTCTTTGGAATGATTAGAGAAGAAAGAATTTCACACAATCCTTACTTGATCTTCTTAATTCTCATACCTACTCAAAGCTCATGAAACACTTTTTTTTGTGCTGTTATTTGGGAATACACATTACTAAGATCAACTGGATCCTTTCCTTAAAATGTAAACACTGGCTGGCCTCTGCTCAGAACAAAGATGTGCAATTCAATGCATTTAGAATGTACTTTTTATTGTCTGTATCAGTTCTTTCCTGATACCCACACATGAGAGCTGCCCTCCTTGGGCAAAATGGCTCCTCACACTACACACACACACACAAACACACACACACACAAACAAATACAAACAAAAAAACCACTGCTCTTTTTCTCTTGAGCTAAGACCTGGGGCTGAGTGCCTCTAGGTAATTCTCCTGGCCTGGCTGCTTCTCAAGTCAGGAATGAGAGTCATCTCAGCCACTGGGTCAGATGTAAGAAGGAGAATGGAGTGACTCAAGGGCAGCCACTGAGGCAGGAAAGACTGGCCGGGCCTCCTTCACACTCAAAGGAACCACAGCTATGAAGTCACTGCGCCCCGCTCTTGCTTCTCACTCAGTATGAGGAGGAGGAGGAGCCTTGGGGGTGGATCACAGAGCACAGGGAAGAGGGCTCTTGCATGGACTGCTCAGCCTGGCCCAGCCAGTCAAAGGCCTGAACAGGAGCTGGCCGGCATGGCCAGGGGAGCTTACAAGAAGCCTCACTAACACCTCTCCACCTGCAAAATCTCTACCCAATGGCACCCGAGAATCCTAGTACCCAAGTGACAAGCAGCTCAGGACAGTGGCTGAGATGATGGACCAGGAGGCCAGTGCCTACATCCATCCCACCTCGAGCACTTGCCTTGGACACATTACTGTCCCTGTCTGTAAAATGGGGTCGATACAAATACTTATCTCAGGGGGTTGCTGTGATGATAAAAAGCCATTTATACAGGTGTACACAGCATGGCACCACGCATCCTCATGAGAACCTTTTCCCCAGAGGAAGAAGCAGCAGTCGGCTAGGCCAGCGACTTGCCCAAGGTGGCCCAGCAGTTCCCATGGTGCCTCGAGCCAGCTCCTCCCTCAACCGCCACTCCTCACTCACCAGCCACACCATGAGGTAGGAGAAGATGGCGATCCACAGCGTGGCGTTGATGAAGGTGACCATGAAGAACTTCTCCCAGCGGGGCTTGCTGCAGTTGGGGATGGTGATGCACAAGAGGAAGAGGAGTGGCCAGGTGAACACCCACTTGGCCTTGTCCCCTCTGGCCTCTGCAGGGGACAGGGAGGAGCAAAGAGGCAGGGGAGAGAGAGAGAGAGACACTGGGTTATGCATCTTCTGGTCTGCTGCTGGTTCGTTTTTTCAGGCTAGACAAAAGAATGTCACTGATGTGACTCCTAGCAACTGACCACAGAGAATTACAGACCTTATGGAAGCAGACAATTGAGCCTGTGTTTGCTGACTGAATAACTTTCATCAGTTCAAATCCTTCATCTGGCACTCTAAGGGAGGTAAGACCTAGAGCAGGGAACTGCAGTGGGGATGTGACCAATGAATGGGCTTTGGAATCAGAAGAACTTGGGCTGGAATTCGAGTAACCTTGAGCAATCACCTCAACGCTACTTCTTCCTCTGATGATCAGGTCCACACTAATGGGAGAGCAACAGAACAGAAACACAGAATATTTGCCACATGCAGGACAGTGCTGAGTACATTGTATCCCCCCAGTGTCTTCATCTGTGAAATGGAGACACCATCTCTTTCAATGGCATACTGTATCATTGGTTTCTTCATCTGGGAAACAGGGATATTGTCTCGGTAGGGGCAAGGAAGACGTGATACAGTGCATACAGAGCACCCAGCACTCAGCCTGGTACACAGTAGCTCAGCTCCTGCACGCCAGGATCATACAGCCAGCCTGCAGCAGAGGCAAGACTAAAGTGTGGGTGTCCTGGCTGGTGGCCCCCATCTCACTGGACCCTACCAAGGAAATGCACACAAGGAAAAGTGGCCTCACTATGCCACCGGATGTGAGTGTGGCAACCTGAATAAGCAGGGGGTATGTGTTTTCGTGGATGGGCTCAGGACCAGGATGCTGGTGATGTTGGTGAGAATGGACAATTCTCTTTTGGGGTAAAAGCAACAAGGACAGTGACAAAAAATATCCACAATCTCCTTTTTCAGAATTCTGGAAATTAACCACAGTCTTATGGCAATCTGAGACATCTGTTTAAGAAAATCAGCTGGATCTCAGTAGGTAGTGGATGTTATTTGCTACTGATATATAGGGAACAGATGTAACTCCTGACCTGCTAGATATCCGAAACGTGAGTTTGTGTTCTCTAAAATCAAAGAATTAATTCTTGGAACAACAGAGATTAAGAGTAAGAAAAGTGTATTGAGAGAAACATCGGATGCCTGTTTCCACAGAATGACTGCTACTCAGCCTGGGAAGTGCCCACTTCCATTCTCAAAATGGACTCTGCCTGACCTGGAGCTCACCAGCGTGAAGAGTCTTTTCCTAAGGGTGTTTGTGGAAAGCAATCAGAGGCAATGATTAAATCATGCTGCCCGATGTGGAAGATCACAGTTGGGACAAATGGGAGGCTAACCAAAAATATTAGATGGAAAAGCTGGGGAACAAGATCATGGCTGGCAGGGACCTTTGCAAAGGTCCCTCCTACTTCTGGGAATCTAAGGGACCCTGTTGCCTGGTCTGTGCCAGACAAAGGGTTGCAAAGGGTTGCGAATAGTTGCAAATGGTCCGCACTGAGTTAAGGTGCAACCCCAAACACAGAGCCTCTTGGTAAGGACTGGGAGACTGACTGGATCCAGGCCTGGAAGGAAATCTGTCCTCAACCATTAGCAGAACCAGCACAGGCCTGTAATCCCAGTGCTCTGGGAGGAGGAGGAAGGAGAACTGCAAGTTCAGGGCAACTTAGTAGCTTAGAGAGGGTCTGTCTCAAAACAAACAAACAAACAAACAAACAAACAAACAAATACGCTGAGGATGTAGCTCAGCCATGGGTTCAATCTCTACTACCAAAAATAAATCTGTAGATGACTCTAGGGTAACCCAGCTGAGATTTCAGTAGCCACATACACCAGAGTACAGATTTTCCAGTCAGTAACTGAATAAAACAAATAACAACAATAATAAAAACAACAACAGACCCTAGGAAGGGGAAATATATGAATTCTATAACTATCATATTATATTACTTAAAATGCCGAGCTTTCAGTAACAATAACAAAACTGTGAGACAGGCAAAATAAGTATTGCCCATACCCAGCCACTAAACGCCTATTGAGATATAGGGTTTATTAGACAGGCTTTACATCAGCTATTTAAAAATATGTTCAAAAGAGTTTTTTATTGACTAAAAAACAAAAATATGAGCATCATACCTCACCAAAAATCAATAGAAATAAAAGGGATTTAAAAAAAAAACAAGCAGAAATTCTGGAATTAAGAAGTATAATAACTAAAATAGAAAATTCATGAGAGGGATTCTATAGCAGATTTGAACAGGCAGAAGAAAAAAGATGACAACCTTGAAAATAGGTCAATTTAAACACTCTAGTTTGAGGAAGAGAAAGATAAAAAGAATGAAGAAAAGTAACCAGGACTTCAAGAGAGCTGAGGGTACTCTCAGCAGATCAAATATGCATGATGGGGTTACAAGAGGAGAGGAGGGAGAAAAGTGGGCAGGAAGAAACTCTGAGAACTCGTGTTCATAAGAACTCCTCCAATCCAATGAACCACAATGCTATAATACAGAGAAATAGTATACAATCTTCTCAAGTGCACACAGAACATTCTCCAGGACAGACCATATGTTAGGCCATAAAACAAGACTCAGTGCATTTAAAAGGCCTGACATTATGCAAAGTATATTATCTAACCTCAGTGGAATGAAATTAGAAATCAACAACAGAAGGGAAACTGGAAGCGACACAAATATGTGGAAGTTAAATAACAGAGTTCTAAGTAACTCATGGGTCAAAGAAGAAATCATCAGGGAAATTAGAAAATACTTGGAGATGAATGAAAACAAAAACGCAACCTACCAAAACTTATGGGATGAAGTGAAAAGAGGGCTTAGAGAGAAATGTGTAGCTGTAAATGTCTGTATTAAAAAAGATTTTAAATCAATGACCTAAGCTTCTTCCTTTAGAAAAGGAAAAGAATACAAATTAAGTTTTTTAAAAAATCAGAAAGAAGGAAAGATCACGGTAGAAATAAATGAAGTAGGAAAAAACAATGTAGAGTATTGATAAAAGTAAAATTTCCTTCTTTGAAAAAACTGATTGTTTGCATGAAAATGTCCAGAACAAGCAAATCCATGGAGACAGAAAGTAGATTAGCGGTGGCCAGAAGATAGGAAGATGAAGGAAACATGGAATCAATGCTGGTGGGAATGGGGTTTCTCTACAGGGTAATTAAAATGTTTTGGAATTATATATTTGTCATGACTGCACAGCTCTACGAACATAGCAAGAAAAACACTGAATCACTGAATTGTACCATTTAGAAGGATGGATTTAATGGTATATGAATTTTTAAAATTGCAACGTAGGCTGGCACTAGCTGTTTTAGTTCTGTACATCTGTGCTTTTTATCTTCCTAAATAATTAAAAGTACATTTAGTAAGAAGAAAAACCTAGTCTGCTTATAATGAGCCAAGAGAATATGGTTAGCTAGCAGTCAGCAAATCAATCCATGTGTCCACCCTAGACACTGCATCTAAAAGAATACCTTCTTGAATCTTTTTGCACACATACCTTTCTGTGCCTGTGAGCCCTGCCCAAGGGAAGAAAGGTTTTCACTGGCTTGTTCACAGTCCCAGGCTATGCCTTTGCTGGTCCACATCCCAACTTCTCTGGGTTGAGGAGGCTGAGGGCATTTCTAGAACTAACCTCTGTACAAGGGGAAAGATTCACTTTGGGGAATGTGACCCTGGATACTTGCAGGCTGAGGAAACTCTTTGAAGATATATGTAAATGCAACAGGAGGATGAATTTCTTATTTCACAGACAGGATGCTTTACATCAGCTGGTTGCTTTTGTCATCCACCACCATCTTGGCCCTACCCAGATGGCCCGAATCAGGGCTCACCACTGTTTCCTCGAAATTCTCCCCCAATGGGACCCTTCCACAGCCGAGCTCCTCACTGTGGGCTGAAATGCACTGGTGGACTGAGAAATCAGTGAAGTGGACAGCAACTAGCACTCTCTTAAAAAGAAAGAGAAAATATTATAGCCGTCCCACACAGCAGCAGGTAAATGCTAGTGCATAAGACTACTTTCCTTTGCATAGATCACTGTGTGTGTGTGTATGTGTGTGTGTGTGTGTGTGTGTGTGTCTGTGTGCATGTGCACTCACGTGTATGTGTGAGGATTATTTATAACTACGGGTCATGGCCCAGGCACATTCATGGCACCCACTCTGGCCCCCTTTGTTCCCTCCCCATTGTTCTGACTCCTCTGCAAAGTCCTGAACCCAGCCAGCCCATGGTGATGTTTCCTTTCCACAAATGCCTTGCATTTTAAGAATATTTAGGAATGACTCGAAGTTTGTCCCACTGACCTATGGCCTTGTCACTTGAACCTACCTTTTGACCTCTACTGGTTGGATGCAAACACAGTTGGCCGTGGGTCTTGGGACCTCCTACACTGGTCTGGATTAGCAAGAGGGGATACACCGTCCTGTTCCTAAGTCTGCTTGTGAAGCTTGGCATTCTGTTGACTGTTCTGTTATATAACTACACAAAATGTTGAAATTCAGTGATTTAAGGCCAACCGTGAGACAGACCATAGCAAAGTGCAGGTGTCTGACCTGGGGTTCAAGTCCAGGCAGTTCATCAGCTATGAACACTGTGCAAGCAGTTTCCCTGAGCTTCCTTTCCTACCTTGAAATGGGGGTGACAATAGTCCACGGGGTCATGGGAACACGACAGTACTATGTCATTGCCATAGAAGAATCTCCCTAAGTAGCACGTCTCACCTTTATTATGGAGGCAGGGCATTTATACAGACCTGGTTTCAGGTGGAGCCAGCAGTCCCATGCTCTTGGTTTTTTTAGTTTTGTGGCTACACTGCCAGCCGCTCACAGCCCAGCCTGATGGAGCCTTCCACAGGTGTGGGACAGCAGAGCCCTTCGCCTAATCTCTGACTCGTGGCAGAACTCAGAACTAATTAAATGAACAGGAGGCTACAAAGGCTCCCTGGAGCATGAGGACAAGACCCAGAACAGAGCAGCTGGAAAAGA